TGAAAACTGTAAATAGCCCTTGAGGAGCCCGGGAGCTGGGAAAACACTCTCAGACGTCTATGCACACACACACACACACACTCAGGCGCTCGCTGACGCACACACACACTAAAAATGTACAGTTGAGGGCCTTAACTGCTCGTCTGAAAGCCACATTTCAATAGGAGGGAATGTTTTGTTCAAGCTGAGCAGAAATCTGACCTCTTAGTGTGGATAGAAGTGTTCCAGTTGGGTTTAAGAGTGTGTTATTTTGGTCATGGTGGTCTGCTTTCTCTTTCTCTCTTTCTTTCTCCTTCTTTCACTTCCTCAGTCTCTCTATCTTTGAGTAGGAGGCTGTTGTGAGCCCGGATGGTCCTGCCTGGTTCTGTTGGACCAACTAGTATATAGGACATTTTCTCCTCATACTCTACCAGGCCTCATCTCTCCACTGACGTCTCACAGACAGCCCGTCAGCTCTTTACAGCTCCCCGTCTACTCGCAACACTCCACCACACTGCTCCACACCATCGCTTTTAGGCAGCTAACAACACTGTCTTCTTTCTGTCTCTCGGTGACTCTATCTCCCCACAGGACCCTTCTCTTCCTTTCTGCTGTTCACGGCTGTCACGTCCATATGTTATACAGTCTGGAGGAGGAGGATTGCTTCACTCTTCCGCAGCTTCTCAACCTTTTCGGCTCATTCATTACAGAGAGCACTTGCTGGTCTGGTCAAATAGCATTATCAGTGTGTGACGGTGGTTAATGAGCATCCATGCTTGGGCTATACAGGACCTCAGACTTCTGATCATCAGATTGTTTCCGCAGTGAGGAGTTTGGACAGCACAATGCCACTGATCCTCAATCAGCTGGCTTCTGTCTTCCCTGCCAGGCAAAAGCTGTTCAGGACAAATGGTCCTGTGGCGCTCACAGCAGCAAATCAGAATGACTCTACTGCAAAAAAAGAACACCTTCATAAATCATTTAAGTCTAATTTAAAGGAGGAAGGTGCAAGACGAATTTACTTTTACTAATTTGCTTCCAGTCAAATCCGGATTTGTTGGAGAGTTTAGTCTGAATTAAATTGGATCTGCAAAATAGCAAGACTTACCAACGTCCAGTTTGACCTCTAGAGGAAGGATTACCCTACTGCTGTTTTAGCTTGTCCTTGCTTGTATAACTATATGCTGTAACAAAACCAGCAGCTAGTATAGGGGGGACTGCATGGCCGTGCGTGTTAAAATAGGAATAGAGGGTATATGGAATTAAGTGTACGATAAAAGGTGTGCTATTTTCAACTTGTGAAATGCTTTTGTTACACTGTGAGACATGTTTGTAAGCTTGCAACCCTGGCTACATTTAGTATTTGTCCTGCCTACATTTTGATCCAGCCAGTGAGTATGTTTTACATTGCTAATTGTTTTGTGGCTGCAAGTATAAGACTATTGAAGAATGTTACCCATATCAGCTTGGTACCCACAAGAGTCACATCTAATCCCAGTATTTGGACATGTTCATTGCTCCCCCAACCCTAGAGTCCAAAGTGTGGCAGCAATTTAGCTGTTTGATTGAAAATGACAGCTGAGATGTTTGATCACTAAATAAAGTAATCTGCTTTATTTTGCCTTGTTTTAAGTAACTGATTTGTTTGCTAGCCCGCAATCCCTTTGTGTCTATACATTTCAGTTCTGCAGTGTTTCTGTGTAAATTATTGTAATACTTGTGTGTTAATAATGTTTGGTGAAAAGCTGTACAGCCAACAGTAGTTTCTTCTGTGACCCTAATGTTCTTTTATTCTGGCCAGCTCCCAACAGAGCACAATTGCCATTCCCACAGGCACTGTTTGTGTTCATGCCAGTTGGTGTGTTTGTGTGCATTCCTTGTTACAGTATATTTATATGGTCTTTGTGTATGTGTTTAAGAAACAGAGCACATGTTGATATTTGTATCTGCGTGAGTGTATCTGTACTCAGGCCTTAGCAAGGCAGCGTGTTTGCTTATCCTCCCTCTAGTCTTGGGGTTTCATTTCATGTAATGTTGCTCAATTCGAACCAGGTCCCCCTCAGCCGAGAGACCCTAGCAGCTGGCAGAAATAAACATAATGAGTTTTTCAGCATTGTAGCAGTGCTCTGAGATCCTTTGAATTATAGAGATGTGGAGTGGTGGAGCATAGCTGCTGCATGTCCACTCGAGGGAAGGTGCACCAGGAAGTACTCCCAGGCATCAATCAACTTGGGACGGAAGATGAAGAGGGATTAGATAGTGATGTCATAAATCCACTTGCTCTGCAGGAAGTTTGTCAGCACTGGAAATCCTTACAGAGTTTCCAAAGGATGGAATGGATTTGACTGAAGCAGTTGGAGGTGGAAATCCTTTGCTGTAGGAACTGGGAATGATACCTAATAATTTTCTGCCTGTACAGAAATACTGCAGTACTGTAATGGGAAAACCCGCACAAAGTCGGTACTACAAAACATCTGTCTATGAAAGGAGCGAACGTGCCTTTGCTGCTGTGCCAAAAGCCATTGCTTTGCCTCCTTTGATTTTAAAACAAAGAACATAGCAGTGACTGATATTGTATAGCTAATAAACAGCAGATTTTTCTTTGCGGCATTGACACCATATATTACTTTGGCATATAGTGCCACAGACGTGGAATCATCACAGAGACAAGCATCGCTGACTCCAGACTCCAGAACGTATGCATGTCTAGAGTCCATATTCTCTTACCTTTCTGTGCTTAAGCTGTGGGTTCACCTAGATTTGTTCATCTATGAAGCACCAAAGTTCACTGACCATGTGCATACCACTACTGTGTGTGTGTGCATGCACATGCAAAAATTACTTCCCAGTCTAAAGCTGATGTGAATCCCAGCTACTTTCCATCAGCCAGAGCAACCAAGCATCCTCACAGACGACAGTAAGTTGGCAAGTTTCCCCAAAGACAGAATTCTCCCTTGGTTCAGCAGACATCAGATGGGTCACACCAGGAGCTGCAACACTATATATGGGCCATTTGCACTTTTTTAGTTTGGAGTTTAGATTTCCTTTTTTTGGGAAATGGTTGGGACAGTGAATTCCATAAATGTGCCATTTACAGCTAAATATAAGTTAACTTGAGAAGGTCATGTCAACATGCTCAAGTCACCATTCCTTGTTGCAGATGAGCAACACTAGAAACATTAATACCTGTGCAATTTTCAAAGACCTGATTATCAATTGGTAATTGCAAAAACTTGAAAACATTGCATGGTTACAGTTGCAAAATGCCAATGGAAAAGGTCAGAGTATGTCATAAACAGTCGGGATCTTGACTAGTTAAAGCATCATAGGCTGCTGGTGGCATTTGAGCATTGCCTAAATGTCACAGCATTGCTGAACAGGTGCATATGCTTTTTAAGATGGACGCTTTCAGCAGGATAACACAGCATCGTCTAAAGACATTTCCAGGAACAGTAAATTTAGTTCAGTCACCAGAACTAACGAAACACTTCGAGATGTTGTTGCATAACTTCTTTGATTAGTCAGCATGCCGAAACTATGGCATGTCTCTTATTACAGGATAAAGCTAGACCTCAGTGCTGGGGGAGAAAAGTGTGGTTTCACTTGTTTACATGAGAGTCATTTTTCCATATATTCCCCTTGCCACCTCTCACTTTAACCATCTCTCTCTCCTTTCTCCTCTTATATTGTTCTCCTTTTTAATGTCCTCCGGGTATCATCAGCAATGACCACCCTGAAGATAAGACATTGGGAATCCAGAAGTGTGTGTGGATGTGTGTGTGTGTGTGTGTGTGTGTGTGCCTATCTGCGTAAGCACCTGTAATGAGGACCACATGTGTGTGTATCAGAGCCCAGGCTAATGAAGCCCAGTCCATTATTTATTTCCCGTGGCCCTGTCGCTTGGCCTGTCGATGCACCTGTGTACACACACACACGCATGCACACACACACCATCTGTCTATAATGACCGTTCTCTTTCGTACTGCATAGCGCTACAGTCCCTGGAGTGGTCATTAGACGAGAGAAGGAGAGAGTGACTGAGGGAGAGAGACCAGCACTTTCAGCGTAGATTTGGAACCAGTTTTTTGGTTGTGATTTGGGGTGGGGATTGGGGGATCAGGTTAGGGTGGGCCTATAATGTTTAAAAAGTGCAGTAGCACAGAGAAACGTCTGCATGCTTTGCCTGCTTTCTTTTCTCTCTGTCAAGAGAATACATTCTGCTACTGAGGTTAAATGTGAATCTTTCGGTGTTCTCTTGTAGAAGTAACTGAATCCACCAAACCACTGAGGGGGCCACAGTCAAGTTCAGCATGCTACAAATAGAGTTATCAAATACCCAACACTTTGGAAAGAGTTATTATCAGCCATTAGATAATAGTTAAGAAACCAACAGTATATTAAAAACCTCTATTTTTCAACGATTTTGTCTTCCCCTTCTTTTGTAGCAATGGCCAGCTCTCAGCAGGGAGGCTGCTCCCATTATACCCACAGCACTTAGCTTTCTGCCCTTGTGGCCCTTCCCAAATCCCCTCTGCTGGCTCCTGCTAATCCCCACCAATAGCAGAAGAACAGGGCAGACAGGGAGAGAGGGGGTTGTGGGTATTGGTGGGAGAGGGCTGGAATAGAAAGACAAACAGGCAGCTCAAATGTGGCTTCCATTTTAATAGGTCCTCTTAATATCTCCCAGTGGAATTAGGAGCGAGCGTGAACTTCCCTTTAACGCAACCTTTCTGATTCTACCTGTCAATATATGTTACATTTCACATCACATCTAAGGCAATTAAAGACATTCTCAGCATATATTACATCAGTGCCATGCTTTAGATCCTTTAGCAAACAGCTGTGTGTGTGTGTGTGAACTATGTGTTCCTGATGTGTGTGGTTGTGTGAAGCAAAGCCTCAGGTATCAGTAGACAAGGATGCCTCTATGCCACTGTCTGCTCTTATAATTATGAAGCTTATTAGGTTCCGAGGGAGAATAAAAATGCATTATTTACATGTTTGCGTGTCTGTCTTTGCAGGGAGCTGAATGGAAATAACCTCACACGCATCACCAAGAGTGACTTTGCTGGACTCAAATACATCCGAGTTCTGTAAGTACTTGTCTTCATGTTCATGTGTAATGATGAGATGTTTCTATGTGTACCCGTGGTGTGGAGTCTGAGTTTATCTATTCATGCATACTTGAGCTGTATCTAACCTTGCAGCTCACAAGTTGTACAGACTTGCTGCTCAAATTAGCATAAACCCAGTGAAGTGGAGATGCTTCTGTCAAGAGTCCTACTCCAGAGTACATTAAGCTACTGAGTGACTGCAGCAAGTGAAGTAATGGACTTTTCTCTCACTGTATTCTGTCTGTTGTAGTAGCACTTATTGTCCCTTAGACACACACACACTCACTTGCCCTCTGTTCCCACACATCAACATGTAATGTGTACACAAGCGCCAGTCCTAAATAGGCTCTCAACACAGTTAACACATTCAGGTGAAGTCATTGACTCCCTCTGTGTTGAAATTAAACAGCACTTGTGACTTCAGGTATTAAAGTAGTTGTAAAAGTGTCTGCATGTGTGATTATATCTGCACACACACTCGTTAGTAGTGCCATAGGTGTTAAAAACACTGCCAGAGGGGAAACCGTGTAGACCTGAACATGTATTTGATGTAACACGAGCTGCACATAATTCCTACTACCCAGCAAAGCCTTTACTATTTTCGAGCCTCATCGTTACTCGCCCATCCCCCTGTCTTGCCCTTCTTTCTCTCAGCTTCAGCTTGCCACTGCTTCTTGTCCCCTCTCATCTTCCTATGCATGGCTCCTTTTCTGCACCACCTTCTACCCCCACGGAGGTTAAATGCCTCCATGTCAGCGGCTTGTCACTAGCAAGTATGAAGGAAACAACTCCTTACAGGAGTACTAAAGACAAAACTTCCTTTGCTGTAAAGCCTCTGATTCTCTCACAGCCACCACTGTGCTACATGTAACACACACACACATACACACACACTGCATGCTTTCTGAAATGTCAGCCAACCATATACATGATGCATGATTAACATGGTGGTGCATGGCATGTCTGTGAGTGCAACCAGAAAAAAGTCTGTGTCTGTGTATTGTGAGTGACCTCTGTGGGGCAACAGCATTAGGACTAACAGCGGGTTGACCTCTGATCCTGCTGACCCCTGGGCAACCCTCAGAAGGAGCAAAACAGGAACAGAGGTTTATCTTTACAATCAGCTGCCATCTATCCTGTCAGTCTAAAATCAACACAGCTGATATACCTCCATTCGTCTGGCTCTGGGTGCTTGGCCGGTCTGAATCAGCAGTGTGTGTGTGTGTG